ACCTAGTTTAACATGGCATACTCCCAAAATCACTCACTCACCTGACCATGTCCTTTAAGACCCAAGGTGCTGTCTGAACGGTAGTGACCAATTCTTTAGCTTTGAGGCAGGCCAATCCACTCTGAGATTTACACTGAAAAAGTCTGGGTCTTCTCTGTGGGCCCTGAGATCGGGACAGTCACAGCTCATGGTCTGAAAGCTCCGGCAGTGAGAAATGGAACTGACTCCAAGTATAAGCGATTAAGGGCTCTTTTCTCATCAGCCCTTCAGCGGGCGGTGCCACAGTCACAGAAGTGCTTTGGGTTCTTGAGTTTCCTGCTCAGAATGCTCTGGCACAGTCTCAAATGCACCAGCTCTCACTTATGATGGGGAGGGGACTGATCCCATGGACAGTGATGAGAATGAGCTCAGCTCTCTGAGTGAAACTGCTTTGCCAGCATCTCCATCATAGCTAGTTCTCACCACAGCGGCCTTTTGAAAGGCATAGAACTTTCACTTTTAAAATGTTTTTACCAATGCCCTGGCTGATGTGGCTCAGTGGATTGAGTGCCTGCCTGCAACCAAAGGGTCGCTCGTTCAATTCCCAGTCAGAGCACATGCCTGGGTTGTGGGCCAGGTCCCCAGTGAGGGGTGAGCGAGAGACAACCACACATTGATGTTTCTCTCCCACTCATTCTCCCTCCTTTCGTTTCTCTCTAAAAATAAATAAACAAAATATTTTTAAAAAATGTTTTTATTGGCACGCACAACCTTCCTCCCATAAAGGAAATCAGGAAAAATATATTCCTCTAATTTCCAATTTAGATGATTACCCTAAAGACATGGCACAGTATATTTTCTTTCCTTTTTTAAACTTCATTTCTGTACACTCTAATGTGGTTGTTCATTTAGTTTTGAATGTATTTTCTTATCTCTATGCCACATACCACAGAGTATAAGTTGACATGCAGGTCACCCGGAACTTTTATTCTGTGGAAGTCCTGATATTGACCAATACCCACTGCCGACGTGAGCCCTTCACCTGCAGTTGTCACTGTTGAAGTGGCAGATACATTCCCCAGACTGTAGTGCTCATCCTCTCCCCACCCTGTTTTTGAAAACAGCATTCCTGGGGCATTAATATGCCCTGTGTCCATCCAGTGACAGCTGACACTCCTGCCACACACGCACTCCAGGCTGGCTCACGACCTACAGCTTAGGGCATGTGTGCTGCAGTGCTCCCCACCCTGGAGCAGCTGCTTCAATTGCATCAGCTGGCGGAGCCTGGGCAGTGGGAGAGGCTCAGCAGCCAGTCTACCCAGTGCAGGGACCCTGGCTTCCTGCCAACCAGATCCCAGGGCTCTGCGTTCCCATTTACCTCATTTCCCCCCTCCTAAAGTTCATGAGAACTTTGGCCATTTACTGCCATCATGAGGCCGTCTTGGTGTGAATAGTCTTCTGAGCTGGCCACTATGAAATGGAGGATATTTCCCTAACTACAGCCTACGGCAGGTGCTCCCATTTCCTACCTGCCTCCAATTTCTCATACCATAGAAACGTAGAACTACAAAGGACTAAGACACCACTAAGACATCTTGGTATAACCAAGATGAAAAGTATGGCTAAAACTTAAGGGCAGACCTAGAACGACAGGATTTGATCTCTGTCCCTATTTCAGCTCAGAATAGACGGGTTCAAGAAAAGCCAGGTGGACAGTGACAAGAGAAAAGGAAAATGTGTTTTCAGATCAGAAATAGCTGGTTTCTCACACCAGATAGTGAGCCAAGATAACAAACATCATCCTTGGATTACCACCTCAACTGCCTTGGAGTCTAGCTCTGATACTGCTTCCTTCACTGTTCTAATTGTTTTTACAATAATTGTGTCGATTCCCTATCTGCCGAGAAGGTAGCGTTTCTGCAGACTGTGCATTGCAGGAGTGACTACTTCCCTTGCTGCCCTCCACCTTCAGCTGAGGTTTTTCTTTTTCACAAAGAAGCTCCAAGGCACCCAAGCTGCCTCTTCCTGACAAGGCAAAGGCAGGCCCCCAGAGAAGCATTTGAGATCCAGGAGGGGCGATCTCTCTGAAGCCACACTTTGGGTTTACTTTTGCCTGTTCAGATCATTTTCACCTGTTCTCCAGAATGAAAGGTAGTATCAGAAGGGGTGATTTAGGGGGAAAATGTGATGGGATTATGTCCGTGAATCTGCCTCAATTTAAGGACTTGAGAAACCAGACTGGGATGATAAATAGAATTGAGAGAGTGCTCTCCCAATTTCAACAAAAATAATCTTCAAACTACCTGATAAAAATTCAAAAGTATCCCTTCCACTTCGAAGATTTCTGTTCAACCCAAGAGCCTGGCCTAGAATGGGAAAACTTCTCCCCTCGCAATGACAGATGAATAATAAGTGTTCCTAGTTAGGATTAAAAGGCACACAAACAAATTCCCCAAAGTTCGATGATTGAAATTTTATCTATGGCTAATAGCAATCCAATTTTGGAGTTTTAAATTTCTTTGGTCTATTGAAATTAACTAGCTTTAATGATGATTAGGTTATGTTAAGACTTTGGAAAGGACATTGACTACTTCAAACCATTCAAAGATACATACCGTGCTGACAGAATATCAAAGAAGTGAAGTAGGTAGAAAAAAATCTGCCAATTAAACTTTCTTAACATATAGTATAGATAAATTTGTACTGACTTCAGATGGAAAACAGCTTAAACATAACATCTAAATTCTATCTAACTCTGATCTAATAAAGCTTAAATGAAAACCATCATGATGATTCTCTTCTCCTTAAAGTATGTCCCAAAATATAGCCTAATTTTTAAAAATCCTACCATTTTATTATGAATAAACTCACAAATGAATGCCATACTTATTGATATAATTTTTTTTCTCTTAAACAAATATGCCCACTAAAACAAAGGTTATCTACTACAAGAGATGAATGTTGCATATTAAGTAAAAAAATAAAATTTACCCAGTACACGCAATTTGTCAGGGAAAATGTGACACTAAACCACCTCTGCTGCAGCTGAATATGAAAGACTAATTGAGATCTCTAACAGGAAACCTATTCCAAGAAAGAAAACAAGATTAGCAGTAATTGTTCTGGCTAAAGCAGGAGATTGGGAACAGTATTTCAAACAACCACTTCCTTTTCCTGTCTTTTATTTTTTTTAATGATGTAGAGCAATTGCTCAGCTAATGAAGGGATTCGGTAAATAAACTTGCACATGACTCTCAACTGATTACTCTGAAATAGAGACTTTTTTTATTCCAGCAATTGCTCTTCAGAAATGATACAAACCTCTTGGTCACCCTCCACAATCTAAATCTTTATTGTTAAAATGAATATAAGGGTAGCAGAGTACAGGTCTGGTCTAAAACTGCATTTATCATTGATCACCATTCATTTTCATCTGCAAAAAATTGATAAATAAATAAGCTGCCAAAACTGACTTTCCTTTTTGACCACCTCTCACTCATTATTAAGCAAAGAACACAGAGCATACTTCTCTTATCAGAAATGCAAGTGAGTTTCTACAATCTGTATTTTCCTTCGTGTGCTCATGTAGAACTCATGGGGGGTCAGCAACAAACACAGAAACGATCACAAAGTTCCTTGGTTCTAAAACCCACACAAACATTCAACTCGCTGGGAGGCTTAAGGTAGAAAACAAAGTAAAGTACTTATATTAGCACTAATCAACTTACACAGTCTTTTAAAAGATACTTACAGTTAAGTCATGGTAAGAATCACACTTTCCTCTGCACTCCCTTTGTTGTTCTAGGGTGAGTTACAAGTAACAAGCCTGCAAATATCCTGCCTTGTGAATAAGACGTCACCCACCTTAATGCAGAGTTTATATTTTGGCTTCTAAGGTTTAAAGGTTAAAGGCATCATCAATTATGCATTTCCTCCTATGCCAGGCCTATAAAAGGTGCTTTCACTGTTCATTAAAGATATTGCTTCTAAATGGGCAGAGGCTTTTGTTTCAAGTGCTGAAACAGAAACAGTTCCATTATGTTTATTACTGCTATGCTGGAGCCCCCAAACAATTTGGAATTAGGAAACTGCTAGAATCTGTCATTCCAGAATATGTAGCAGCTGTCAGTGTACACTCTTGGTCCACTCTTTGTACAATGAAACAGTTAAACATAGCTGGCCCCCGTCCTGTTCTCCTCCCAGGAGAACAACAGTCTGGCAAAACCCACATCAGCAGCAACAGTTGGGGCTTTCCCCTTCTCTCTCTGTCCCATGTTACAGCTCTGAATAAGGACCAGAGAGACACATGGTTCACAAGAGACTATCCCCAACTCCCGCACTGGAGCAAGCTCTGTGTGAGGTGTGTTAGCATAAACTGCGCATTGGCACATGTCCTTCCTAGTTGACACTCTGACTTCCTCACTCATGTTTTGCCACCACCTCCAGCTAAAGCCAGTTCTACGAGATTCTTTGTTTTAAATATAATCTTTCTTGTATTTTTTTTTCCATTACCATGTAGTCCCCTTATCCCCTCCCCACCCCCCGCAGCAATCACCACAGTGTTGTCCATCTGAGAGAGTCTCCTTTTCCTCTTACACTTTACACGCACCGCATCTGCAGAGGCTGGGCTCTTGTTTCCGGGGAGCACCACACCCATTCATCCTCTAGCCTTCAGGAGCAAAATGCAGATTTGGCTGGATCTGCCTCTCTCCAACCTCAGGCCGAAGGGAACAAAACTGGACACACAGCACCCAACTTGAGCCAGGTTATGACCGCCCCCAGCTCGGCATTTTGGCTGGCTTGGGGGAGAATTCTGGAGACAGACTACTTGCGGTAAGCACCGGAGTTCCAGAAATTCTTTCCAGGGGACAATCTGCATACCCTGACAACTAAATGACAAAGTTATTTCTTCCTCTTCTACTGCAATGCCCTTTATTCTCCATCAGAACACACACACGCGAGCGCACACGCACACACGCACACAGGCGCACACACCTCACAGCTTTGCTTCCTCAACTTACCAGTTTAGACTTGGCGCGTTGCAAAAATTCTTCCATATCGTTGCGAGAGTTTTGGGCCAGGGGTACCCGGAGAGGGGCAAAGGAAGATCTCGGTCGAGAGAGAGGAGCGGAGTCTCCGGGTAGTGGCCGCCTGGGGCGCAGCGACCAGCCGCTCCTTTCTGCCGCTCGGAGGCGGCAGAGGCTGTGGCTACCCCCTCAGCGGTCGGGTCCCAAGGCTCCCAGCCCCACCCCTGCGCTCCTCCGCCGCTCAGGGCTACGGACTCAGCCCTATTAAGGAAAGTGGGTGTGCCTCCGGGAGCCCCAGGGCGCGCCCTGGCAGCTCGCAGGCACGCGCCTGCGGGACCAGAGCTCGGGACCCGGACCCGGGGGCGGGTGTGTTGGGGGATGGCCAGGGGTTCCTCGGCCAATCGCAGGGCCCTGCTGCGGCCTCCTGACGTGGCGCGCCTAAAGATGCTGCAACCATGGACAGCGCCCAGAAGTGCGAGCCAAGTGCAAGGGGCTGCTGCAGAGGGAAGCTCTGCCGCAGGCACTGCCAGCCAGCGGAAAGTGGGAAGAGGGAGAGTGGGGAAAGAGGCCCCTAGAGAGACCCCTCCTCGGCCAGCGCCTCCCTGGCTAGCTGGCACATTACGGAGAGCTCCAGCGGTCACTTAATGAGCTGGCTCTGCTGGCCTGGCCAGGGGATGCACTCAGCTAGTCGGCGGGGCGGGGGCGGGGTGGGGGGGCGGGGCGGGAGTGTAGAGGGAGGAGTGAAGGGGGGTGACTGTTACTGCTGAGCTAAAAGCAGTATAACCTTGATGGAAAATAATCAGAAGAGCAGGTTGGAAGGTTGTGCAATGTTGCATCTATCCTCCTTAGCCTCAAAACATACCCCCCCAGCCCTGTGCCTCTGCAGTTCACCCCAACTGGGTCCCTCTGATACACTCCTCCCTTATCTTGACCCTGGGGCTGATGCACAGATACACCCTCCTGCAGTCTGCGTCTACTCTCTGGCATGTACACTCAGGGGAAGCTGGTGCAATAGTACCTTCCTACTGCACAGAGGTCTGTGTTTCTACAAGATTTCCCAATAATTTCTACGTGCCTTAAAGTTTAAGAAGTACTGCAATATGCACTTAAAAAGACAGCTATGGACCTTATAAACCATAGAACTTTGCTGTGTGTACTCTCTAGGCTTATCATTTCACCGGCTATACCACCTCAGGCTTTCTCTTACATCTGGGCTTTTGTACATCTGCCTATACTACCCTTTCCGTCCTGTCCCCAGCCCACACTGCCTAGCTAACACAAGGGTGACTGCACATTAAAATCATATGATAATCATCCAGGGCTTTGAAAATACTGGTTCCCAGGCTTTATCCCAGCCCAGCTGAATCAGTATCTCTAAAGGTGGGGCTACAGTGTCAGTCAGGTGTAAAAATGCCCTAAGTGATTCTAATGTGCAGCCCAGGTATGATCCTCTGGTTTTCAAACTTTAGCATGTGTCTGACCACTTTGAGGTCTATGAAAGCACAGATTTCTGTGCCTTGACCCCAGAATTTCAGGATTAATAGGCTTGTCTTATTCTCAGAATAATCGCCCTGAGAATTTACATTTTTTTACATTCTCCCTGGGTTTGCTGATGTTTCCAGTCCAGGTACCACACTTTGAGAATGGCTGTCTTAGAAGTTGTCCTCTTCCAGGAAGCCTCCTCTGATATACTCCTCCCTTTCCACCCTCAGACTAAGTCAGTTGCCCCTTCCATGTTGTCATAGCAACCTATATTTTCTACTCTACTATCAATTGCCTTATTTTTCTGTGTTCTCCAGGGTGTAAAGTCCATAAAAACAAGGACCTTGCCTGCCTAATTCATTAACATATCCCTAATCCAGTTCATGTCATATACAGATCCTCAGTAAATACACTTTACTGAACAAATTTATGTATGGAAGATTTTTTGTTTTCTCTCCCCCCCCCACCCCGTGTGTGTGTATACATGAGACAGCAGGGATGGGGGAAGGAAGAGGGAAAGAGAGTGATAGGGTGATTATCCAATTATTTTTTATTCAGTAGGATCCAATGGAACGAATCAGCAGAAGTCTGGAGACCTGATTAAAGGAGAGTGATAGGAGCATTAAGCTGCAGTTTGCATTCAGGTGATGAGTTGTGTGGAAGCTAAGATTCTATCTACTTTCTTTGCTGACTTAAGTAGTTTAAAACCATCCAGGTAACCAGTGTTTTGTCAGCCTTTAAATCTGTGAAGTGATCACAATTCAAGTAACTTTTCTAGGAAAAATTCTCAAGAATTCTTTGCCTCTGACTCCGCTGGGAAATTTAGTGACAATACATGATACTGTTTTGTTCCTCTGACTTTTGATTTTAAATATTCTGGGTAAGTCTCATACAGCATTAAGATTTCTTAAGGTTGTTTTTCTTTTTTTCCTCCCCTAATGGATTCAAATTTCAACATACATTACCTGGAGTTTTTCTCCTCCAACAATATCCTTGCAAAAGCTTCTCAAGATTTATCTCCTCCAGGAAGCCTTCCTGAACTGGTCATCTATACTACAATAGTTTCTCGAGGTTGCTGTAACAATTATCACAAACTCAGTGGCTTAAAGCCACATGAATTTATTATCTTTTAATTCTGTAGGTCAGAAGTCTGCCACCAGGAGAAATCAAGTTGTCAACAGGGCTGAAATCCTTCTGGAGATTCAAGGGGAAACTCTTTTTTTTTTTTTTTTTTTTTTTTTGCCTTCTCCAGCTTCTAGAAGTATCCCACATTCCTTGAGTCATAGTGCCTTCCTCCATCATCAAAACCAACAATATTGCATCTCTCTGACTCTTCTTCTATAGCCACATCTCCCTCTGATTCTCCTCTACCTTCCTCTTCCACTTTTTAAGGACCCTTGTGATTATATGGTCCTACTTGGATAACCCAGGAATATCTCTCCCATTGTAAAGTCAGTTGATGAGCAACCCAAATTCCCCTTTGCTATGTAACCTAAAGTATTCCCATCCTGAGGATTAGGATGTGAACTATGTTCTCATTCAACATACCATACAACCTACACCCCAAATTATTTAGTGGCTATCAGCTTTTGATCCTCAATTTCTTGCATTCCATAGCAGCCAGAAATCTAGTGCCTTTAACTCTAGGTTAGAAATCATCAATCCTGGCTGCACAATGGAATCACCTGGCAGGCTTTGAAAAATATTGATGGTGTAGATGAAAAAGGGACCACATACTAAACCCGATAAGCTCGAGGGAGGCCTGCAGGGGGGCCTTACAAACTCAGAGACTGAAAGTAACCACATAGGATGGTCTGAACATGAAAATTCCTAACTAAAGAGAGTCATTAAGGGTAGTCATGCCCTAGGCCTGTAGTTTCCTTGACAAAGGTCAATCTTTACCTTAAGTGAACCTATCTATTGTTCTTTTTGCATCGAAGGTAACAAATACACCTTTGAAATGTCAGGGGAATTTCCTTTCCCAGATCCCACAGGGCACACCCACCACGCCAGAGCCTAGAGACCACAGAACCTCTCATTGTTATACTGTTCCCCACATACCATCTCTATGAGCTGTAAACGGTAATTGTTAACTATCCTGTACCCAATGTAAAAAAAAGTGTGTGTCTCTCTATGAGGATACACAAGAAATGGCCACCAGCAAGTAGGAAGAAGGTCCTGCTCAGTTTATGGGATTTTTGAATAGCAGCCTGAGCAGACTAATGCAATGTGAGTGCTGGGGAAAGGAAGACTTTAGGGCTCAGTCTAATTCCATCTCCCTATTTTACTGAGTGGTACCAAGAACCAGAGTAGTTCAACATTCTGCTTGGGCTAAGAGAGCTGCTTAGAAGCAGAGCCAGGACTGGAACTCAGTTCTCTATCATTCATTCATTTATGGATCATTGACTATGCTCAGGAAGGCATTCTGCCTGACCTAAAATGTACAAGACAAGATCATTGCCCTTAAGTGGCTCATGGTCTAGTCACTATAATACAGAGAGATACAATTAGTGATTGAAAAAAAAATGTAGTATTGTACTGGCTGAGACACAATATGGTGTCATGACTATAATCTGGATTCTCATCCCTGCTGTGGAAGATTAAACATGGCTGCAAATTCTTTGACTCTCCTCCCAATGAGACATCAGGTCTATGTTCCTTCTCCTTGATTCTAGAAGAATTCCATGATTTTCTGAGCAATAAAAGACAGTAGAAGCAACACCATGACAGTTTCTGGGACCAGGTCGTAGGAGACTGGCAGCTTTTACTTCTTGTCTTTTGGAATGCGCACTCTTGGAACCTAGCCATTGGGCTATGAGGAAGCCCAAGCAGCCACGTGGGGAGGTCCACATAAAAAAAGAACTAAGAACTCTGGCTAATAGCCCAGATGCCAGCCATATGAATGAGCCATCATGAAAAGGAATTCTCTAGCCCCAAGCAAGCAACTGTAGCTGATGCCACGTGGAAAAAAGTTAAGCTGTCTCTGCTGAACCCTGCCTACAAGATTCTCGACCCAGAGAATAGTAAGATATAAGAAACTGATTATTATAGCCAATAAATTTGTGGGTAATTTGTTATGCAGCAATACGTAACCAGAACACCTGGCCATTGACAAGCTACCTAACCTTGGGCTAGCTATCTTCTCTAAGTCTATCTCCATCTATAAAATAGGAATAATCTTCTCTTTTAGGATTTCTGTGAAAATTAATGTAATAATACATACAAAGGATCTAATTCCTGGTCCATAACTACCACTATTGTCATTACAAAGAGTCTGGAAGTGGACATAAGGGTGACCATGAAAAGAACCACACACGAGCGGAATCTCTGGGTCAGTTGTGGATGGACCAGCAGTCACTAAAACTGTAGAATTGTTATATTATAGGTAATATATCTTGATATAATATTATTTCTATAATATAATAGAGAATACCATAAGGTAGCACTAACTTACATCAAGCAACACCGTCTAAGGTTACACTCATTTGGAAACCTCGTACAGTGCGATGCCTGTTTCAGAAAAAGGCACTGCAGCGGCCCCAGCCAGGCATGTTTCTCTGAAGTAACGCATCTGCCTGCACTATTCACAGCAATGTCTGTGTGTTTCCTATCCCCAAATTACCACTCCCTGCCCCCACTGGGTCTTCTCTTTACAGCCTCTCCCAGGAGCACTGCAGCTCTGTAGCTCTTCCAAGGGGCTCTTACTGCAGTCAGCAC